CTGCTTTATGTCTCCTTAAATATCATGTTCATTTGCAGATACAACAACTTTGAACTAGCCATTATAATCGAGTGGGCAACGATTCGTGTAGAGACTTTGTGTAGTTTCTATGTGACAGCTACAAGAGAGTTCGTTTGACATTTCCAACCATTGTTCCCCTGTCAGCTGCCGTGGGGTGTGATGACGGCCACAACCATCAGCGTCGTCGACGTTAACACTGCTTTATGATTTGCAATGATCTGAAAGATGTTGTTAATAATCGATGCAGTCTGGTTTCAAAGAGCGGTGGCTTATGGAGGAAACCGCGCTCACAAAAGTATGGGATCCTTAATTTCTGGTCATTATTACTATACGTCAAAATTAGCTTCAACAGATTAGTATGTCTGTATTTGATTTCCGACTTCCCAAAATATACGTTGACTTTCACAGGTGTCAGTGGGACATACGACGTCGTCGACGAAAACAGACGAATTTGGGTTTATTTTGTTTTCCTTCAGATAAGGTAAAATATTATCACCGATGATGTATTGACCATGGTTTCATAGTCTATTGTTTGTGTCAGCGTCTAAGTCAATGTACATGCTTGTAGGTTAGACTGAATCAAGATTGCAGACTAGGTATGATTTGGACATGTTAAGTGCACTTTATCTTCATCACTTATGAATGACAACTAGATTTTGTCTATGTTAATACGTACATGTTTAATTCAACAAATATAAAGACGCGCAAAGGCTGATACGTGTCCATAAAGCTGACTGAAACATATAGATTTTCAGTGGAACAATTGACTTGCCCTTGCATGTGTTTGTGACGGATGGTACCTGGAAAGAGGATATGCTCACCTTTTCGTGAACACCTGATCATCACAACGTTTCACATTAAATTTAGTTATCATTATGAAATTAATTTTGCATGTGTCAGACAACAAGCATCCCTAACCATCGTTTCGTTACAGCTGATTAGAGCAGGAATAACCATATAGTACAAATGTATACTGTAAGTATCAGTATAGTGCCCGCAACATCTGCTATGGTCAGCAACTGGCTCTATATAGTATCCTGCCTCAGGAACTACTATTTGCAGGTTCAGCCTTAGTCTCTAGTACAGACCCTGAAGCAAATATATCCAAGAAGCCCACACAAGTCTAGAAAATGTGGCAAGTCTAGATTTCCTCAGCTTCTGAAAATGAAGAAAGTCTCAGGGCTCCTTTTCATTATATATTTTTTTACTATGAACTTTTTTAGTAAAATATGTTCATTTCAGAGACTAGTTGTTAGTCTAGTTCAGTCTATGAATTCCGCGCACCTTACGATATATGCAAGCCCCGAGTCCCTGGAGACCGACCTAACCTAGTTCAGACACAGTCCCTCTTACGTTTCTTTTTCTTTCTGTCATCAATGATAGATCTTTACACAACACATTGTACGAGTTTATTCCTTTGGGAAATATAAATTTCATATTAGTACAAGTTTATTCAAGAAACGTGATGAGGCTGTAGGCCAATAACCTCTCTGGCTTAAAAACATGTGATACAGGAGGAGAGAGAGATAGGGCAACACCTGTTATATTAATACAAATTACATTGTACGTCACATTGGGTTTTCTGTGTGAGTTGTTTCGAGATATTCAGTACACTTGAGCAGGCATCACAATAATGCTTCTAAACAGTGAGTCACAACCAAATCATAAAGGAATGTACAAAAAAACCTTCACGTAGGCGGATGGATTTGTCTTTGTCCTGACTGGTAGTTCTGCCTTAAGCTGTTTCCACGGACATACATTCATTGACCAATGTTTCAGCAAGTTACTGTTTCACTTTGTAAGACCATCATTAAAGAAACGTGTGTATTGTCGGAATAGAGGAAGCAAGAAATGTAAATATTCTTGTCGGAAAAGACAAACCGAGTTTCGATCTGGGATAATTGATAAAGTTCCATTAAAACAGAAATACACAGTGTCAACAAGCTGGCGGGGATTTAGATGGAACTGGATTATCGGAACAGCAAGACCCCACGACCCGCCAGTCCTCGCTACAGGTGATCCCCTTGCCCTCGCTAACACATCGCCATAGTTGTGCTTCAATTACCCAAGAGAAACTGTTACATACCAACGTTTTGTAGTCTTCAGTACTACGATAATTATTTTTTTACGCTAGTGACATGATTGATGGTCATATGAGACAGTCATTGTTTCGTTAATTGCAACATACGACCTTGGATGCCAGAAGGTATTCCATCATCATCAGTGTCACATATATTTCAATATCATTATTACCTCGGAAAAGAAACTGGTTACATAGTATGTTTTCGAAGACCAACCATATATTCATGAGGTAAATGTTTATTATACAGTATGTAGTTTTTGTAAAGGACTATTGGAAACGTGTCCCTGATGGTGTTACTAAGCACACAAGTATTGATTCGAGACGCATATACACCTAGATTGTAACTATTGTTCGTGAACATGGTTTCTCGTTCGCTATCATCTGATCTGCACCTTGAAGTTTTAGAATCGTGACATTATACAGATTGTGTTGGTTTTGTAGTTGAGTACAATTACACCTGGGGACGTCGTGTTTTGACCTGAGGTCCAGAGACATATATCCTGTTTTTTAATATCGAAATCCTAATCACCTAATCACGTATATATTTCCCATTTGATACACCTGTATTTGAAATAAGGTCGTTAGAAAAGATTGGCGTTAGTCTATTGGTTGGAACCTTTTGTCCTCTCGCGGAAGGCCCGGGTTCGATTTCCTACATGGTAACATTGTGAGAATAACTCATTTCTGGGGTCCAACACCTTGATATTCTTGGAACATCTCATTCATTCATTCATTCATTCATTCATTCATTCATTTATCCATTGACGCACTCACTCATGTATTCCTTCATTGACGCATTCATTCATTTTTATTCGTTCGTTTGTTCGTTCATTCATTCATTCATTGACGCATTCATTCATTGACTCATTCTTCCTTCATCAGACATTACATACAAGCTGCTACAAAACAGTTAGTTAGACTTAGTGCATGAGTATTTTCGGGGGCTTTGAACGTTACTTAAATATCGACAAGTGGCTTAGAACTTGGTGAAACCTACCGGCCCAGGAATAGTGCCGACAAACCAAGAACAGCGGATCCTGGTACAAATGTAGCATCGTACGAATGAGCGATCCGTGTCGCGAAATTGTAAACTTGACCTGTAATATTCAAGTAGTCTGAATACAGGAAAATACGATATTCAAACTATGTGGCGACCATCTCCAGATAACCGTGTTTAGCCGAGATACCCTTGATATAATATATTAATTATAATATCATATTTGTTACGCGCATATATCCATGCTAAAGCAGGCTCAAAGCGCACAAGATAAAGATGAGATTAATGGTAAAGAGCTACAGTTCAAAGGCTATCTTGAACATATGTGTTTTTAGATTGGATCTAAAAGAATTAAAGTCACAACAGTCTCTGAGGCTCTGCGGGAGACTGTTCCAGGCTATAGATCCTGCATGGACAAAGGACCTCTTTCCATACATCACTGTCTTTACTTTGGGAACAAGAAGCAAGTTCTTTTCCTGTGAACGGAGAGATCGGGAAGGCGTGTACACGGTTAGAAGATTGGATAGATAAGAAGGTGCAGTTCCAGTGAGACAGTGGAAAACAAGGCATAAGAGTTTAAACTGGATCCTGAACTCGACTGGAAGCCAGTGGAGAGTGTACAGTATAGGAGTAATGTGAATATGAGTAATGGTCAAAGAAAGTTCGTTACTGAAGTTACTTGACAACCCCATTCATTTAGTCGTCTCTTAGAACCAGCAAATGACAATGGGTATTTATGTTTACCCAACAGTAACAATACGTTACGTTACGTTACGTTACGTTACGTTACGTACATGAACTTTATAGAATGCAACAACAGATCGACAGATTCCTGTTTCAATCTTGAATTTTAATCTAAAAATATCCATGATACCTTACGAAGCAAGTTCAAGTATTGGGATAAGTGAGTGAGTTCACAGCGCCCTCTATATCTGAAAGGATCGTATTTCTGTAAATCTACACGGACACCTGGATAGATACAGGTGGTTCTCAAGGTACCTGCCTTGAGTTTCATTCGCCAATATGTATTTGCTATCCTACTCAGTCTAACAGACCAATCAGAATGCGAGTTACAAAACAAGCCTAAATAATGGGTTGGCTGTATCGACATTATAGTGGCCTTCTGATTTCAATAGAATTTGCTGGAAATCTACAGTGAAAAACTGTGTGTTTGTTTTGTCTGTTGCTCACAGCTGCACTCAGCAATTTTCAGTTATAACACGGCGTTCTGTAAATAATCGAGTCTGGACCAAACAATCCCGTGATTGACATCATGAGCGTCGATCTACGCAATTGGAATACAATGACATGTGTCAAACAAGTAAGCGAGCCTGACCACCCGATCCCGTTAGTCGCCGTTTACGACAAGCATGGGTTGCTCAAAACCAATAATTATTCTAACCCAGATCTTCATGAGTAGAAAAACAGTGAAACTGAGCTAAAGCCCTAAAACATCTTTTTGATGACAATGATAAATCCTCTTTGGTTGAAATGATGTTGATGCGAAATCTTAAACTCACGCACTGATTTCCTATTAACGTTTCTCGACGTTTGATTATTACTCCGTTATTGGCATATGTCTTAGCAATACACTAAAATTATCACGTCACGTGACAGCATAAATAAGCTTTGCGCTTTGTATTTTGTACCCAGTTGCGGTATCGAACCCAGACTATCGTTGTGACAAGTAAATGCATAACTGCTGGGTTAGTTTCGTGTTATAAAGCAAAGTATTGATTATTTGGAAAGTTTTTAGAATACAACAAAACAAAGTCGACGTTAACGATTTTAAAATGTTGCGTAAAGTCAAGAAGCCGATTATATTGAATAACATCAAAGTATGATATAAATGGGTTCTCAATAAGCTTCTCAAAGAATTATCTGTTGTGACTTACTGACCTGTTTTCCAGCCTGGGTTGCGCCCCCTGGCTTCTGTTGCGTAGCAACCGTCAGTATCCGGAGATAGCAGACCAGCATGATGGCAGCAGGGATGAAATAGAATAACGACATGACCGTCGCCGTAATGGAGGGGTTTTGGTAAAATGGCTCACAGTTGATTCCGATGTTGTCGTAATAGAACTGATTAAAACCAAACACAGTTGTTCCATAGACGGTAAAACAGCACACCCAGCTTACAACAATGGCGGCGATGACCTTATGTCGCGTCACCAGCAAGCGGTAACGTAAGGGGTGAAATATTGATATATACCGATCAACGGCAACCAAGGTCAAGGACAACGTGGATTCATGGAAAAGGCTAGAAATACACAACGCTTGTAACTTACACACCGTTTTCCCGTAAGGCCAACAATTGTACAAAGCGGGGTAGATGCATAACGCCGTCACCGTCAACCCCATCGTACAATCTGTGCACGCCAACGACGTCATCAACATACGGGCTGACTCCATGAAGTATCCTCGTGTGCAACGTGAGTTGAGTACAATCAGACATAAGACGTTACCGCCTATGATGGCCGTGGATATCAATGCTACGACGATGGACTTGCTGACAGAATCGGTTGTCGTCGTGCTGTTTTTGTCGTCACAGAATAGGCGTTCATCAAGGGTCATTTTAGAGTCGGTAGCTGACGTCAGCACGTCCACTCTGTATACAGATCACCAGCGTCTCTGCTACACCTCATGTTCAGAACGCGGCTGAACGTGAAATTAAATCATATGTAAAATCGTATATTCACATTAAATCCAAAATTTCGTGGCCTGACGTCACTGTAACTCCAAAGATTCTTCCCTGTTGTGTTCTATCTTCACATCCAATGTGTCTCATATGTCGTATCTTCATAGAATTTCCAAAGATTCTTCTCTGTTAAGGCTTATTTCACAGTAAAACCAAATATTCTTCGCTGTTGTCCTTCCAATACATCCAGCATTAGTTCTGTGGAACTTCATAGCTCCGATAGTTCTCTGCTATCGTCGCAGTACGTTCATGCTTCTTCTAATGAAAGGCAACTTATATGGAGATCTTGTAGTACACAGGAATCCGAAAACATAACAAAAGAGAACCATTCATCTCTAATGGCACTTTCGTCGAAACGCTTACGGATGTGTAATTGTACCGTGTTTGACGTAATCCTTCCGTGTTACTTTCACACAACCAACTCTCACTACCGATGAATATGCGGCACACACATAATCGATAATACAATGTTTACTATTGTACGCCGGTTAAGTAGCAGTTAGGATAACAAAATACAGGTGTTGTTCCAGGATCATCAAGAACCCTGAACGTATATACTGCATAGTTAAGAGATGCCAATACCTGATACAATTATCCACCAGGTGTGTAAGCCTATGTTCCCTCTCAGAACTCTGAAATAACAATCAGAATCCTTCAGGTGTTCTGGAGTTTCAGTAGAGCATCTAGTCTGCATCCGATATTCAGTTGCTGGATTGGTAAATGTCCGTTATACAAAGTTGATAATGACTTTCGTTGTGCGGGGTATACTTCAGGGGGCGCTCTTCAGATATATCCTTCCGGGACTAAATCTGGGGACACTCCATTAAAGTTTTCCGATGTTCCATCACCATAGTTGTTTACACACACTCCGGGATTGGTATTGACTATCCAAGTGAAAAGACAATTTGCAGTGTGTTGCGAAACGGTCAATAGTCTGCAAAATAGACGAGTCCGTGTTTTGAAGAGGCCACTTTTAGACCGATGCCTGGTCACCACGTGGTATTGACCATAGTCATTGGACAAGTAGCACAGAAGGCATATCTGACCGGTTCCACACCACAACGGCATCACTACACACGCTGTTAGGAGATTGCATCGCTGTGTGTTCAATCCGAGACTGGCACAGCTGGTTCCTCCTTGTATCTGTATAGGGATGGTGTCAGAGATAGCAGCGCTGCGTGGCGCTGTGGCGAGCTCGGATACGGCCACCTGTCACTGAGAAGATCAGGCAGGCAGTGTTGTTACAATTTAAGTAGGGACAAGGCCCCTGGCAAGTCAATGAAGCAGTGGAAACAATGGAAATAGCCGTCAGAGGTCACTGGGACAGTGAGGTGACAAATATAAAATAAAATAATTGTTATATAAAACATGTAACTTAAGGATTCGTGTTACTTTATTGTTTAATTAGGGGCGGTGGGGTAGCCTAGTGGTTAAAGCGTTCGCTCGTCACGCCCAACCCCGGGTTCGACTCCCCACATGGTCACAATGTGTGAAGCCCATTTGTGGTTCCCCCTCCGTGATATTGCTGGAATATTGCTAAAAGCGGCGTAAAACAAAACTCACCCACTCACAATTGTTTAATTAAAGATGCCCTCAGCTATGTTAAAACTGTATGAAGAAGGTATGTAAATACTCGAGTGTGTACCAGATAATCAAGTGATTGACATCATGAGCATCGATCAACAATCTTGAGATCTATTCACGTAGATGAGATACTATGACACACAGTAAGCCAATTCACCGAGTCTGTGAGTGAACTGTAGGCAACTATCGGCACTATGTGATGAAGCATAGTTTTGCCAAACTGATACTTTGAGAAAAGTGTGTCCCTTGCAATTTACCGCAACGCAACGCACCCACCCTCATCTACATCTACACCCTCACCTACAACCACACCCTCATCCACATCTACACCCTCACCTACAACCACACCCTCATCCACATCTACACCCTCATCTACAACCACACCCTCATCCACATCTACACCCTCATCCACATCTACACCCTCACCTACAACCACACCCTCATCTACATCTACACCCTCACCTACAACCACACCCTCATCTACATCTACACCCCCCTACACCCTACTACATCCACATCTACCTCACCTACAACTACATCTACATCTACCCTCATCTACAACCACACCCTCATCCACATCTACACCCCTCATCTACAACCACACCTCCTCATCCACATCTACACCCTCACCTAACCACAGCCTCATCCACACACCCTCATCTACATCTACACCTCTCATCCACATCTACACCCTCACCTACAACACACTCACACATCACACCCTCATCTACATCTACACCCTCACCTACAACCACACTCCCTCATCTACATCTACACCCCTCACCTACAACCACACCCTCATCCACATCTACACCCTCACCTACAACCACACCCTCATCCACATCTACACCCTCATCTACAACCACACCCTCATCCACATCTACACCCTCACCTACAACCACAGCCTCATCCACATCTACACCCTCACCTACAACCACACCCTCATCCACATCTACACCCTCACCTACAACCACACCCTCATCTACATCTACACCCTCACCTACAACCACACCCTCATCTACATCTACACCCTCACCCTACAACCACACACCCTCATCTACATCTACACCCTCACCTACAACCACACCTCATCATCCACATCTACAGCCCCTCACCTACAACCACACCCTCATCTACATCTACACCCTCACCTACAACCACACCCTCATCCACATCTAGCACCCTCACCTACAACCACACCCTCATCCACATCTACACCCTCACCTACAACCACACCCCTATCCACATCTACACCCTCACCTACAACCACACCCTCATCCACATCTACACCTCTCACCTACAACCCACATCCACATACACCCTCACCTCCACACCCTCACACATCTACCCTCACCTACAACCACACCCCTCATCCACATCTACACCCTCACCTACATCTACACCCTCATCTACATCACCTACAACCACACCCTCATCTACATCTACATCCTCATCTACAACCACACCTCACCTCACCACACATCATCCACTACACCCTCACCTACAACCACACACCCTCATCTACATCTACACCCTCACCTACAACCACACCCCTCATCTACATACTACACCCTCACCTACAACCACACCCTCATCCACATCTACACCCTCACCTACAACCACACCCTCATCCACATCTACACCCTCACCTACAACCACACCCTCATCTACATCTACACCCTCACCTACAACCACACCCTCATCCACATCTACACCCTCACCTACAACCACACCCTCATCTACATCTACACCCTCACCTACAACCACACCCTCATCCACATCTACACCCTCACCTACAACCACACCCCTCATCAACATCTACACACCTACATCCCTCATCCACACATCCACACCCACACCACCTACAACCACACCTCCCTCATCCACATCCACACCCTCACCTACAACCACATCCCCTCAGCTACATTAACGTACGGGTTCAATGTATATCAATACTATATTCACAATTTTAAAAAGCAACACATTTAACTGCGAGAATGTCAAGATCAGCATAGATTGTTATGAGTTATTTTAACAACGGTTATTGGCGTAAATCTTATTACAACTGAACACGCTCTAGAAGCGCCATACGGTAATCTTCCCAAACAAAAAATGTCATCTAGACTGAATAAAATTTCATATGCCATGTCTTCGTGTTACAAACAGCGTGGGCCTGATAAGAAATGTTCTTTGTATATTATATATAGTGCAATGAACAAACTGCAGACTTATTCAAATATTATTTTTCAACGCTTTGTTGGCTTAAGACTTACACGTGCTTTATCTTTCTTATCATACACTGAGGAACAACAGAAACGCTTCTGTCACTTAGTTTATCATTTTCAGTTGGAAATATCTTTAGTTAGCGATATTTGTATCCCGAATATTTATTACACTGGTGCTTTGTCAATACTCAAAGAATTCTTTTACTTTATTTTATTCTTTTTTAAATATAAAATTAAACAATAACATAACACATATCACTGTTTTGGTTTTTTTAGTTTGTTGTTCAACGCCGCATTCATCAATATTCCAGCTATATGGTGGCGGTCTGTTATCACTGCTACTGACTACCTCAGACATCTTATCTTTGAAATTCACTAAATTTGCAACACACGCTTGTCGTAAGAGGCCGCTAATGGGATCGGATGGTCAGGCTCGTTGACTTGGTCGACACATGTCATCGGTTCCCAATTGCGCAGATCGATGCTCATGCTGTTGATCACTGGATTGTCTGGTCCAGACTCGATTATTTACAGACTGCCGCCATATAGCTGGTATATTGCTGTGTGCGGCGTTTATAGTTATAATCAGATATAAAGGCATAACAAAAGTTCTTTCAGTTTTCTACTACATTGAAAGCACACTCGCTATACTCCTTAGCCTCTAAATTTAGATGTTTACTTCTTATTGTTGCAGCACCAATGTCCATTGACGACCAGCGTGATTTAATTACGGACAAAGATTAACGTGGGACTGGGCGGATGCGCGGTACTTGTCTGGTTTCAGAAATGTGATTTACCGTTAACGTAAGTGCAATGCGGTTACAATACAACACATTAACCACATAAAATTAAACAAATAAAAGCATGTTTCCTCAGCACAACATTGTTTTCTGTTCAGTGTCTACTTATTACCTTTTAATGTACATTCTGCTTTTTGAGTGAGTTGTGTTTTACGCCGTTTTCAGCTTTATTTTCGATTACAAAACATCGTATCAGCAGTGTGGGCTGCTAATGATACCATCCTACACCGTTCGGGGAAAATCAGTCACGAGGTCTGATGGTGAAAT